ATATGGTGTACAGTATCTCCTCCTTATTGGAAACATTAGACTGTATTGATCTGCTGACAGGAGAGGTGAGCGTTGCCGGGAATTCTGGGACATTCTCCAGTAGCAGACAAGGGATGTGTCTGGATGGTGACTGTATCATTGTGTGTGTCAGGTTCCTATAAGGTGTCAGGATGTCACTGTCTATTTCTCCATGGAGGAGTGGGAGTATTTAGAAGGACACAAGGATCTCTACAAGGACGTCATGATGGCCAATCAGCCGCCCCTCGCATCCTTGATATTTCCTGGCTACTAAATATTCCACGCTCAACTGTTAGTGGGATTATAACAAAGTGGAAGCAACTGGGAACAACAGCAACTCAGCCACCAAGTGGTAGGCCACATCACATGACAGAGCGGGGTCAGCGCATGCTGAAGCGCACAGTGCGCAGAAGTCACCAACTGTCTGCAGGGTCGATAGATAAAGACTTCCAAACTTGGTGTGGCCTTCAGATGAGCACAACAATAGTGCGTAGAGAGCTCCATGGAATGGGTTTCCATGGCCGAGCAGCTCCATCCAAGCCTTATATCACCAAGTGCAGTGCAAAGCGTCGGATGCCGTGGTGTAAAGCATGCCGCCACTGGACTCTAGAGCAGTGAAGATGTGTTCTTTAGAGTGACCAATCACGCTTCCCTGTCTGGTAATCCGATGGACGTGTCTGAGTTTGGCGGTTGCCAGGAGAACGGTACTTGCCTGACTGCATTGTGCCAAGTGTAAAGTTTGGTGGAGGGGGGATTATGGTGGGGGGTTGTTTTTCAGGGGTTGGGCTAGGCCCCCTAGTTCCAGTGAAGGGAACTCTTAAGGTGTCAGCATACCAAGACATTTTGGACAATTTCATGCTCCAAACTTTGTGGGAGGAGTTTGGGGATGGCCCCTTCCTGTTCCAACATGACTGCACACCAGTGCACAAAGCAAGATCCATAAAGACATGGAGGAGCCAGTTTGGGGTGGAGGAACTTGACTGGCCTGCACAGAGTCCTGACCTCAACCCCATAGAACACCTTTGGGAAGAATTAGAGCGAAGACTGCGAGCCAGGCCTCCTCCCCTGACATCCGTGCCTGACCTGACAAATGTGCTTCTGGAAGAATGGTCCAACCTTCCCCCAGACACCCTCCTAAACCTTGTGGACGGCCTTCCCAGAAGAGTTGAAGCTGTTATAGCTGCAAAGGGTGGGGCCAACTCAATATTGAACCCTATGGACTAAGACTGGGGGGGCCATTAAAGGTCATGTGCGTGTGTGTGTGTATATAATAATATATATATATATATATATATATATATATATAGTGCTGCATACATTGTCATTGCTATGTAAGTACCTGTAATAAATATATGCAACGTAACACTTTGTGAGGCAGCAGCCATTATACCAAAACAAAATCAGTGGCCGTTCCCACATCTTCCACAAGATGGCAACCTCAAATATTGTAAATGGAATGCACAGATGGGAAGGGATGAATCGCAGGCAGGAAGCGATGTAGGAGTATAAAAGGAATTTCCAGGTCAAAGGTGAGTTGGGAGGAAGTAGAGAGGAGACATTGCTGGAACTGGCAGCAGAGGAGGTAATAAGATCTTATTTTATATTTACACCCAGTAACCCCATGTATATCAAGTTTCCCAATATTTTTGAGGTACGCCCAACTTTGCTCTTCCCTCTCGTGGTCACCTGGAGCTCCTCTCCCATCCCTACATTGCAGAGTGTTGCATGGAACCTATTCCGCGATGGTCAGCTCACTGTAGACTGAAGCTTTATTTATGATGTTACAAACTTGGAGTTACAAGTCAGAGATTTTCAGAAGAATTATTTTCAATGAGTTCTTGTCTTTTGTAAGGGGGTTCAAGCCATATATCAGGGTTTGAAACCTCTGTTTTCCATCTGTATAATAGCATGGAAAAGTTGAATGGGCCCCAGAATACTTTACCTGACCCTACATCAGGTGTTCTCAACGAGGGTTCCTCCAAAGGTTGCTAAAGGTTCCTTGAGCTGTGGCTGATTGAACTCCCTTTTAATGGTGCCTTCCTAGTTCCAGGTCCAATTCTACTTCGTAAAGCCAGCAGCCTGACACCAATTATGTTTTTAGCGTGACCTACGGGTGGCATTCTGTCCGCCACTGTAAAGGTTGTGTTTTTCCTACTGCAGAACTCTTGATCCCAGATTAATTGGTTTTAGTAAGGGTTCCCTGGGACCAGAAACCCAGGGCTCCTATGGGATCCTTACCATATGAGCGCCTGGGAAAGTGTTAGAGAAAGCCTCCTATACAGCTCCACCACAGGTCATCGCACACCTCGATGGTCCTCACAGAGAAGACGCAAAGCAAAAATTGTGCACACCCATTACAAACTTTGCAGTCATCTCAATGTTTGAGAAGGCAGCACTTTCTTGAAATGAAAGGTTCTAGGCCTCCATAAAGGTTCTAACCCTTTCCTACTCTATGAGTATAAGCTGAACTCTCTGGTTTTATTTTTTTAGGTTAATAAACAAAGCCTGTAATATATTATAACAAGCAGTTATATGAAGGTATTATTTTATTTAGTATAGGTCAGATAATTGTCAGATAATTATCCATCTACAGAGAGTGTGTATTTGGATCCCATGACCACCTCAATGAGGATGGATGAAGACAGGAGTCACATGACTGAGAGGATATTGGACCTCACCCTGGAGATCATCTACCTGCTGACCGGAGAGGTGAGGAAGATTCTGGGAGGTCACATGACATCACTCTCAAATCTATTAATAAAACACAGACCTGACCGGAGAGGTGAGGAGGATTCAGGAAGGTCACATGACATCACTCTTATTTCTACTAATAAAACACAGACCTGACCGGAGAGGTGAGGATGATTCTGAGAGATCACATGACATCACTCATCTCTATTAATAAAACACAGACCTGACCGGAGAGGTGAGGAGGATTCTGGGAGGTCACATGACATCATTCTCATCTCTATTCACAAAACACAGACCTGACCAGAGAGGTGAGGAGGATTCTGGGATGTCACATGACATCACTCTTAACTCTATTAATAAAACACAGACCTGACCGGAGAGGTGAGGAGGATTCTGGGAGGCAGGCCCAGACTGGCCATAGGGCACCGCAGAGGACACAGAGACACCTCCCTGGCGGCCGCTGCACACACAGTCGCACTGAAGAGACAACAGCAGCCAACAAAGAGACATCCCAATCAAGCAAAGAGACATCTCTGTCCAGCAAGAGACATCCTGTTTTTTTGTGCATTGGGATGTCTCTTTGCTGGATGGGGATGTCTCTTTGCTATATGAGGATGTCTGTTTGATGTACTGGACTGTCTCTTTGCTATATGGGGATGTCTCTTTGCTGGATTGGGCTGTCTCTTTGAATATATAGGGGCACTGTGATTAGATCTCTAGGGGCACTGTAGTGTAAAGGGGCACTGTGATATAAAGGGGACTGCGCTGTAAAGGGGCATGGTAATCAAATAAAAATATAGTACGGAGGACCGACTCAATGAATATTCCTGCCCCTGCGAATGCCCTTGCACCCCCCCCCCCTCTTTGGAAAAATTGGCTGCTCAGTCTAAAATGCCCGGGGCCTATTTTTTGTCCCAGTCCGGGTCTGCTGGGAGGTCACATGACATCACTCTTATCTCTATTAATAAAACACAGACCTGACCGGAGAGGTGAGGAGGATTCTGGGAGGTCACATGGCATCACTCTTATCTCTAGTAATAAAACACAGTCCAGACCGGAGAGGTGAGGAGGATTCTGGGAGGTCACATGACATCACTCATCTCTAGTAATAAAACACAGACCTGACCGGGAGAGGTGAGGAGGATTCTGGGAGGTCAGATGACGTCACTCATCTCTAGTAATAAAACACAGACCTGACCAGAGAAGTGAGGAGGATTCTGGGATGTCACATGACGTCACTCATCTATAGTAATAAAACACAGACCTGACCGGAGAGGTGTCTATAATTAACTAGCCAAACCGTTTTTTTTTACCTGTTTACATAGGGTTATATGGTAGTGAAGAAGACATCTGGTGAGTATTTGACATACAATATCCTTCAGAAAGAAACTCTGAGACATGGTGATGTCCCCTCATCTGTGTGCCTGGAAAGAAACAATAAGAAGATTCTAGAAGTCACCAAGAGGATCATGGATCTGCTGACAGGAGAGGTGAGCGGTGCCCTGAATTCTGGGACATTCTCCAGTAACAGACAAGGGATGTGTCTGGATGGTGACTGTATCATTGTGTGTGTCAGGTTCCTATAAGGTGTCAGGATGTCACTGTCTATTTCTCCATGGAGGAGTGGGAGTATATAGAAGGACACAAGGACCTCTACAAGGACGTCATGATGGAGAACCAACAACTTCTCAGTTGTGTAAAAATACCAAAAAAGGATTTATTAACAAACGAGATAATGAATCATGCCATGGAGATCATCTTTCTGCTAACTGGAGAGGTGAGAGGATTCGGGGAAGGTCACGTGACATCACTAATATCTCTCTCTCTCATTAAAACACAGTTCTGATAGGAGAGGTGAAAGCATTCTGATATTATATTTATTGCCATATAATGCAGAACTGTGTCGTAGTTATGAAGACATCAGTTGAGAATAATACAAAAATAAGCAGGGAACATGTGTCCACAAGAGTGAAAGAAGAACAGAGCCCCACTATAGTGGCTTCACTTCCCCTTTCTGACTCTTAAGAGAAACACCAAGAAGATTTAGAGGTCACCCAGAAGATCATTGATTTGCTGACAGGAGAGGTGAGCAGTGCCGGGAATTCTGGGACATTCTCCAGTAACAGACAAGGGATGTGTCTGGATGGTGACTGTATCATTGTGTGTGTCAGGTTCCTATAAGGTGTCAGGATGTCACTGTCTATTTCTCCATGGAGGAGTGGGAGTATTTAGAAGGACACAAGGACCTCTACAAGGACGTCATGATGGACAATCAGCCGCCCCTACATCACCGGGTAAGAGGAGACTTTATTGTAAAGGAGAGAGCAGTATGGAGGATCCACCTAGATCCCCCATCATCTGATAAACACATAGAAACAATGGATTCAGTCAGTATGTGTGTTTCCTACAGATGGATCCAGTAATGGGAACCCACCAGAGAGATGTCCCCATCCTCTGTATTCCCGGGATTCCACACAGGAAGATCACACCATCCCTCACCATCATCAGGTAGGTGGATCCAGTAATGGGAACCCACCAGAGAGATGTCCCCATCCTCTGTATTCCTGAGATTCCACACACAGGAAGGTCACATGATCCCCCACCATCATCAGGTAGATGGATCCAGTAATAGGAACCCACCAGAGAGATGTCCCTGTCCTCAGTATTCCTGGGATTCCACACAGGAAGGTCACGCCATCCCTCACCATCATCAGGTAGATGGATCCAGTAATAGGAACCCACCAGAGAGATGTCCCCGTCCTCTGTATTCCTGGGATTCCACACAGGAAGGTCACACGATCCCCCACCATCATCAGGTAGATGGATCCAGTAATGGGAACCCACCAGAGAGATGTCCCTGTCCTCAGTATTCCTGGGATTCCACACAGGAAGGTCATGCCATCCCTCACCATCATCAGGTAGATGGATCCAGTAATGGGAACCCACCAGAGAGATGTCCCTGTCCTCAGTATTCCTGGGATTCCACACAGGAAGGTCACGCCATCCCTCACCATCATCAGGTAGATGGATCCAGTAATAGGAACCCACCAGAGAGATGTCCCCCTCCTCTGTATTCCCGGGATTCCACACAGGAAGGTCACGCCATCCCCCACCATCATCAGGTAGATGGATCCAGTAATGGGAACCTACCAGAGAGATGTCCCCGTCCTCTGTATTCCTGGGATTCCACACAGGAAGGTCACACCATCCCTCACCATCATCAGGTAGAACTTACAAGCAATTCCAGACTGCATGTGATGACATTCTTCTTCATGCTGTCCATGGTTATTAGAGCTTACTTTTACAGATCTTATTATTTTTGGGATGTAGTGTGAAGACCTGATCTATATGAAAGTTGAGGTAAAGGAGGAAGAGACATCTACGGAGGAGGTTGGGATGATTATCAAAAGTAAACAGGAGCAACCTTCTTTAGATATAAACACAGGTAATTATTGAATAATAAATGCAAAATTTGTTAATGTTTGTTAACCTCTATAAATAATTTACTAAAAGTTCAGCACTATGAGCAGAACTTACCAGGTAAGATTAGACTGAGTATCAATAGTGGACCAGCAGATCGGGGATACTTTCCTATTCTAGAGTGAAGGGCCCATCATTTCTCGATTTAAGAATGATCATTACGGATGGCTTGTCTTTCAAACACTTGAATCATTTTTTGGTTTGCTTCCCGCTTTCAAATTGTAAGATTTACTCCATGAAAGACATATTCGGATAGGTTTTTGTTTTTAAAAAATTTTTTTTCTAACCTTAGTCACTGAGAAATGATATCTGTCAGATCTCTGGCAGTCTTCTCTTTTATTGTTACAGCATTTCACATCATTTAGTAAGGAAAAGGCCGAGAGATTTTAATTGCTGACCATAAGAACCTTATCGAAGTACCTACAACACCCCCTAACAAATGTAGACATGGGACCATAAACCATTAATCACACCAAATTTCATTACTCACTAGACAAATATATTTCTATTCCCCATGAAATCGAATGATTCCAATAAGGAGGAGATACTGTACACCATATGAAAGGTCCATCTCCATCCCTCAATATAACGTCATGTTCCCAACTAATGAGGAGGAGATACTGGACACCATATGGAAGGTCCATCTCCAGTCCTCAATATAATGTCACGTTCCCAACAAATGAGGAGGAGATACTGGACACCATATGAAAGGTCCATCTCCATCCCTCAATATAACGTCATGTTCCCAACAAATGAGGAGGAGATACTGGACACCATATGGAAGGTCCATTTCCAGTCCTCAATATAATGTCACGTTCCCAACAAATGAGGAGGAGATACTGGACACCATATGAAAGGTCCATCTCCATCCCTCAATATAACGTCATGTTCCCAACAAATGAGGAGGAGATACTGGACACCATATGGAAGGTCCATCTCCAGTCCTCAATATAACGTCACGTTCCCAACAAATGAGGAGGAGATACTGGACACCATATGGAAGGTCCATCTCCATTTCTCAATATAACGTCATGTTCCCAACAAATGAGGAGGAGATACTGGACACCATATGGAAGGTCCATCTCCAGTCCTCAATATAACGTCACGTTCCCAACAAATGAGGAGGAGATACTGGACACCATATGGAAGGTCCATCTCCATTTCTCAATATAACGTCATGTTCCCAGCAAATGAGGAGATACTGGACACCATATGAAAGGTCCATCTCCATTCCTCAATAGAACGTCACGTTCCCAACAAATGAGGAGGAGATACTGGACACCATATGAAAGGTCCATCTCCATTCCTCAATATAACGTCACGTTCCCAACAAATGAGGAGGAGATACTGGACACCATATGAAAGGTCCATCTCCATTCCTCAATATAACGTCACGTTCCCAACAAATGAGGAGGGAGATACTGGACACCATATGAACAAGATTGACACAATTCGCAAGGACATTGCTGCAACTCACACGCCCTCTCAACCCTTCCCCTCTCACACAGCTACCCCTTATCCCCCCCTCCCCCTCGACATAACCCGCAGGGACTTCGTCGTCGCTGCTCAAACTCTCTCCACCCCCTTCACCCTCACTCAGCTACCCCCTCATCACCCCTCTCCCACGGCCCCACCACTGCTCTGACCTCCTCTTCCACCCCACCCTACATTCCTCATACTGAAGCTCCCCCAACACTCCGCACCTTTGACCTTACTACCATCGAGGAAGTCTCCAAGATCCTCTCTGATGCCCGCCTCACCACCTGCCCCCTCGACCCTATCCCCTCACAACTCCTACGACCTCCTTCCCCCTCCATGCTACGCTCCCTCACCCACATCTTCAATCTCTCCCTCTCCTCTGGCACTTTCCCCTCCCCTCTGAAACATGCACACATCACCCCCATACTTAAAAAAGCCCTCCCTGGACCCCAATGACCCAAACAACCTCAGACCCATCTCCCTGCTCCCATTTACATCTAAACTCCTCGAGCGCCTAGTCTACACCCGCCTATGCTCTCACCTCAACGACAACAACCTCCTCGATCCCCTACAGTCTGGCTTCCGTCCCCTACACTCCACCGAAACTGTCTTACTCAAACTCTCCAACGACCTGCTAACCACCAAAGCTAATGGCCACTACTCAGTGCTCCTACTCCTTGACCTCTCTGCGGCCTTCGACACAGTCGACCACCCCCTCCTTCTCAAAAAACTACACTCCCTCGGCCTCAGAGATTCTGCTCTCTCCTGGCTCTCATCCTAACCTGTCACAACGCTCCTTCAGCGTTACCTATAATGCTACCACCTCCCCCTCACTCCCCCTCTCTGTTGGGGTCCCTCAAGGCTCTGTCCTCGGGCCCCTTCTCTTCTCCATCTATACCTCCTCCCTTGGCCAACTCATACACTCTCACGGCTTCAACTACCACCTCTATGCCGACGACACACAAATCTATCTCTCAACCCCCCACCTCACCCCTTGGTCTCAGCCTGAATCACACACCTACTGAGCGACATATCAGACTGGATGTCGCTCCACTTCCTTAAATTGAACCTCTCCAAAAACGAGTTTCTTGTCTTCCCCCCAGCCCGGACACCACCCCCCATTGACTTCTCCGTCACATCCAACAACGCTACCATCAAAACCCGCCCTGCAGGCCAGAGTACTGGGTGTCATCTGGACTCCAACCTATCCTTCCAGCCCCAAGTCCAATCTTTAACAAACTCGTGCAGACTCCACCTCCGCAACATCGCCAAAATACGCACGTTCCTAACCCCAGAAACCACTAAACAGCTCATCCACTCCCTCATCATATCACGACTCGATTACTGTAACTCCCTCCTCACTGGCCTGCCTCGCCGCTGGCTATCCCCGCTTCAGTCGTTCCTGAATACGGCTGCCAGACTCATTCACCTTTCCAACCGCTCAGTCTCCGCCACCCCCCTCTGCCAATCCCTCCACTGGCTTCCGATTGCGCAACGGATCAAATTCAAAATCCTAACGCTGACGTACAAAGCTGTCCACCATACTGCCCCGAACTACATTACTGACCTAATATCCAAGTACTGCCCAGCACGCACACTCCGCTCCTCACAAGACCTCCTTCTCTCTAGTTCCCTGGTCTCCTCCTCCCATGCCCGCCTCCAGGACTTCTCCAGGGTGTCACCCATCCTCTGGAACTCCCTGCCCCAACCATCAGATTATCACCTACTCTCCTCTCCTTTAGGCGCACCCTGAAAACCCATCTCTTCAGGGAAGCCTACCCCACCCCCTGCTAACTTGTCGACCTCCACTCTTCCTACCACTCCATCCCCCACAGCTATCTCCTCCTGTGCCACCATCCCCTCCCTCCTAGATTGTAAGCTCGAAAGAGCAGGGCCCTCGAATCCCCTCTTGTTTTGCATTGTATTGGTATTGTTCTGTCATATGTTCTGTCCCCCTTTGTAATGTACAGCGCTGAGCGAACTATTGGCGCTTTATAAATACTGTATAATAATAATAATAATAATAATGTTCCCAACAAATGAGGAGGAGATACTGGACACCATATGGAAGGTCCATCTCCATTCCTCAATATAACGTCATGTTCCCAACAAATGAGGAGGAGATACTGGACACCATATGGAAGGTCCATCTCCATTCCTCATATAACGTCATGTTCCCAACAAATGAGGAGGAGATACTGGACACCATATGAAAGGTCCATTTCCATTCCTCAATATAACGTCATGTTCCCAACAAATGAGGAGGAGATACTGGACACCATATGAAAGGTCCATCTCCATTCCTCAATGTTGGACCAACAATTACTCCTCACCACAAAATGTAAAAAAAACATATTTACCGTTTACGTTTAAAATTGTTTTTTTCAGAGGGACACTATGGCCCAAATTCCTTGGAGGGAAATCCTGTTCTATTCTCAGATGTTAAGAATAATGGGGACGCCGAACTTTCTCAAGAAGCAAATCCAGTTATTCGATATATACATCACAGACCCTTACCATATGGGGGAATTGATGGATCCTTCTAATCCTGAGGAATCTTCTCAAAGCCACCAAGGAGTCCACACAGGCAAGAGATTGTTGTCATGTTTGGGGTGTGGCAAATTTTTTGCCATCTTGGATCTAACACCATTGTGGCCTCTTTCATTTTTAGAATGTGGGAAATCTTTCATTGAGAAAAGCAAACTTGATACGCGGAAGAGAAATCACAAGGCTGGAAGTCATTCATGTTTAGAGTGCGGGAAATGTTTTACTGGGAAAGGAAACCTTCTTACACACCAGAGAAGTCACACGGGTGAACGTCCTTATTCATGTTCTGAGTGCGGGAAATGTTACACCGGGAAAGGAAGCCTTCTTACACATCAGAGGAGTCACAAGGATGAGCGACCGTTTTCATGTTCATGGTGTGGGAAATGTTTC